CCCCAAAACCCCAAAACCCCAAAACCCCAAAACCCCAAAACCCCTATGTATACGTAATTTGTTGATCATTGTTATCTAAATAAGTTAGCCTTTGTAAGATCCTGAAGTATTATTAATACCCTTTTTGCCATCTTTAGGAGAGTCTCTAAGCACCCGGTCTTCGTAGTCCTCCTCATCTTCAGCGAGAGGTGTGAACTTATTTGCTCTAGTGATCAAAGGATCACTGGTGTCTCCTTGTTCTTGATTATGATTACCTCGGAACAGAATAAAGTGCTGTATCATGAAAATTATGTCGAAGAAAATTGACATAACCCCTAACATGAATTTGACTATATTAAATCCGTCTCCTGATCCGAAGAAACTCCAGTTTCCTTCAGTAAGACCGTTGTAGACCATATCAAGAACCTGTTGTAGGATAGAAAGACTTCCACCTGTGAAATCTAGGAAAATGTTCAGAATACTCCATCCTTGGGTACTCTTCCTCTTTCAGTTGAGCCATACTTGAGGAACATATTTCAAGAAGGTAATGATTGCTTTGTTATATCCAGCCACTCTGAAGGTATTGAATGCCTGTGGCATAACTCCAATATTAATAACACCTTCGAGTAAGAACACCACTATCAAGGTAATCCATTCTACTATCAGAAGGACGACTGCCCACAAAGCAAATGTTTTCTGCTGTCCTCTTTCATAAATATAGGCCTGAGAAAGCTGAATAGATGCCAGTGAGAATGCATGGAAGGCAAAGAAAAGATCATTTGGCTTGATTTCTCCTGTTCCGAGGTGTGGATAGATAAACCCTCCCATCGAGTATAGACTGTAGAAGAAGAACCCGGACACATTTAGCAGTGCAAACTCCAGTGAGAATCCTGCAACTGATTTCTTTCTGTAATTTAGTAATACCTGGGGGTAGAATGAGAATGACCATGCGAAAAAGTAGACCCACCCTATAATTTGGGAGATCACATCCAAATATGCGTAGCTCATATTTAGGTAAGAGTTATTATTTAATTAATTTTCATCTTATCCAAGTTTAACAGGGGTTTTGGGGTTTTGGGGTTTTGGGGTTTTGGGGTTTTGGGGTTTTGGGGTTTTGGGG